TCATTTAGTCTGTGCTTGTTCATGTTTCTATATCTCATACTTAGGGTATTACATTCATATTGGATAAGTATATGACTCGATGGCATGAGTTTAGTGTTGGGGTCTTGTGAAGTCAAGTTGAAAAGTGATTATTAGTTGCTTTGCAACTAGTGATTGTTGATAGAATTCATCAAGGACCATTGATATTTGATTCGCTCGATGATGATTTAGCAGCTTTACTAGATGGTGTTATGGAGGATCATATCATGGCTTGCATGGTTTTTCCATGTTGGCACATCAACTTTACTTTTATCAATATCATTTGGTTGTGTTTAATCTGTAGTGTTGGATTATATTGAGTCTTGGACGTGGTGAATCACTCCTTGATGATGTGTTATCTGTAATTGAGTTGTTTTGCTAGAGGATTGGTCTCAGATATTAAGTATAATATCTTTAACCTTAGTTAGCTTGGTTGCTAAAGAGCTTTGAATGGTGATTCACTCTTGCTTTCTTTTAGATTTATTCTGGTGTTTAACATTAAAAGGATATTTTGTTATTGATATTGTTGATATTGAGATTCAAGTGAAATAAGATGTCTCTCCTTATGATTAATATTGAGTTTCATTAGTCTTGATAAAGATAATGTTGATGATTTGGCTATAACTTTATGTTATTGGCATTTATACATTTGCTAATTAGCAATGATGTTGATGTTCAAATGAGCTGAGTAGTAAATTGAGTTAGTTGTGTTCTAGACGAAATTGTTTAGTAGGGGTTGAGCTTTGGCTTTTCCTTAAAAAGTGATTTAATCATGGATTATACTAGCTTTACGAGAGGAAGAGTTAGTGATTAATATTGAAGATGTTTGAATCCTTGTTGGATTTGAGTTGAAATATATTGATCATTGATAATAACTTTTGTGCTTGTTATAAAGTGAGTTATGTCTTGCTATAGATGGATTCATGGAGGATTGATAGGTGATCACTTGTTGAGCATAATTTTATTATGTGTAACTTTTGAATTGATGCAAACATGCTTTTCATTAACTTTGACATTATGAAGTTTGGCTTATAAATGTGTTGAGAAGGATATTATAGATTGTACCATAATTTCTTCTTTAGCATTAAAGTTAGTTTATATGAGACTTGTGATCATTATTAAGCTAAACTCAACTATAAACTTGTTTGAGCTTTTGGTTCATTGAGTTCTTTTTATGTTCATTATTTCATTTGTTAGGAGTTGTTGGGGAAGGCATTTTGGCTCATTAGCTTCAATGTTGAAGTTAGTATTTGCATCTGGGAATCATTAATGATGATTGATAGTAATCTAGAATAGTTGATTATCCTTGTCAAAAGTTTTACAAAATTATTATTGATATAGAATGATTTGCCATTTTTTGAGATGGTGGATTCTTTTTTTAACAATGATTGTGCATCTTTTTATTGATAGGATGATTGATGATCTTTCATGATAGTTAGTTATTCTTTTTGATAGCTTATGGCTTTTCACATTACTGCATGTTCTTTATGGTTTGCTTTAGATTTGTCTCTTGGGTTTGAGACATCGGTAGAATGTTGCTAATGCTTGCTTAAGCAACTTAAGTTTTTTTATTTTGTTGACTAGGATCTATTTCGATTGACTAGTGTGATAGTTAGAATAAACGTTATGTTTGTTGCCATTTGCAACACTCATTCTATTCTATTGATTGATATTATAGTTAGTTTTGATAAATTGGATGTTATTTCCTTTTGGTGATACATTCATGAGCACTTTGCTTGCTAATTAATGATACTTTGTGTTCTTTGAGTTATCTTACATAAGTTATTTAACATGCTATCTACAATCTTTGATAGTTAAGTTTTATTAATAAATTTTCTTGATGATTTACTTACTATTGAATTTTGTTAAATGGTTAATCTTATGACCTTAACCTTTAAAGATCTTGGTATTCCTAAACTATAATTCTAGTTTATCGGATGATAATTTACATAGAATACTTGGAAAACCTCTTTGAGTTTAGGCTAGTATAAACAAAATGACTTCGACACTTCGTGTGCATAGTGAAATTTTTAGTCATGGGGTAATTACTATCAATTGGTCACATCACCCGCCTCTTTGTCTTTGTTCCTTCTTTTCATTTTAAAAGGGTGTGACCATGTAAACAGCTCTAACTACCTATTTACAGTAGTGTATTTAAACCTTATCAACGGGTTTGGTTTTTTTGCTCATGAGGGTTGGGGCCTTTGGTTTCCTTCTCTATACCACCTACGGGCAAGGGCATATCACACTTTTGTAAGCTGGGTGGCACCCAAAGCAGCAAAGGTGGCTAACTCTATTGGTTATTTCTTTGTTGGCGACAGTTGGAAGGTGTCTAAGTTGGTAGTGCATATGTGTTAGATAAGGAGGTTACCCTAACTCATTTGAGTTGGTGCATTTCTCATATAATGTCATCACCATGAACTTTTTCTAAAGTTGTTTCCTTGGTAATGGTCTAGATTGGAGTATACATTAACAAGGACATCAATCTTCCCTAAGAGGAGGAAAGTGTCGTGAATGTGATTTTGGGTATCGAAAGTTACTTGTCGGCTAATCATTTTGGATATTCTTTCTTTACTACCATGACGTTAGGAGGTCAATATTGTTAGACCCTTTATCAGTCCCTCTTGTACTAATGAAGTTAACTTCGCATTTTGAGTGTACTTAAACCGGATGAGCATAAGGACGAAATTCCTACATGCTATTAGCTACTTAGTCTGGCAAGGTCCTGTCTTGTTATGTCTTGCACTGGCTAGTGACGAGACCCTTGCGTATTGAGACTAGTCCATCAATATCGCTGAATAATAGTTTATTGTGTTTGCCAAACACCCTCGCTATAATGCCATTTGTGTTAGTCTCATTTTGGTCCCAAATACTATTTATGGAAAGTGTATAGATTTGCTCAGTTAGTATATCTATGAAATATGGAAATTGTCTTGAACACAATGGTGTTCATCCCGTGTCCAAATTCGAAATTTAAAGACATTCCATCTTTAGTATGTTTCAAGCTTGTCCTAGAGACTAACTCCTGGTACTAAGGGTGGCTAAGGGTGAAAGCCCAAAGTGTGTGTTCCTCAAGGAGGGCTATGGGGGGTTTCAAATATATATAGTAGGGATAATGGGTAGGTCAGGCACAGTCAACCAACTTGAGGCATAGTTTAACTCCCACTTACATGCTTGTCCTTGTTTTACGTCTAGCTTGGACCTAAGCCCAAGTTCCATACCATGCTAATTGGTGGAGTACTTATATCTTTGTGTTAGGCACCGGTATGCTGAAATAGCACTAGGCTTCGTTTAGCTCCATTTTGCATGCTGGTCCTAGCATTAGGATGCTAAATGCTCTAAGACTGTTTCAACTTGCTCCATGCTCTTGTCCCTTCGCTCCTTGGGCTGTACACTTTAGAGTCGCTCTGTGCTCCAGTTCCATTAGTCCTTGGCTTTATGCTTAGGAGTTTGGCTTCGTTCCTTCATTTAGTGGCCCAAGACCATGAGACTCGGATTCCGCTTTGCTAACCTTGGACACGTGGCATGTGGCATGTGATATGTGGCATATGAAGGGTTTAGGTTTTGCTTTGTGGTTATCTTATAGTAAATAACCATAGGATAAAGGGTAAAAACCACGTACACTACAATACTGTTCCCAAGATCCCAAAGTCATTCCCTTATTAAACCATTTCTATCCACCATATTGCCTACATATTCAAGTATGAACTAAAGTGGAGACTCATGCTATATTGACATGCTACTTCTTGAGGATAGGCCCACTCCTGGGGCCTTTCGATGCCAATAAAAGTGGTGATATACTTGACCACCAATAAGAGTTGAATCCTGTGTTACGAACACGGCCGGGATCCCGGCCGTGTTCACCGTGTTTCACGAACATGGCTATGGGTCGTGTTCCCACGTCCGTGTTTGGAACAGTGGTCCGTGTTACTA